GGGAGGAGAGCACCTGAGTGGGATCCCCGGAGCCACCGGCAGCACAGCCCCAGCTAGACAGAAATAAACTGTGAGTGCCGTGCAGGCTGGAGAGTCCCGTGTGTATGTCCATCCAACCGGTCTGCCGGTCCTTGTAGTCCCAGATTCCCGTGTCCCTGCAGGCTGTGGTTGTCCCCCCAGTCCGTGCCAGATCCCCGCTGCTGGCACCATCCACGGTGCGGCTGTGGCTGCTCAGATCTGCTCTGCCAGCCAGTCCAGTGCCTCTTCCCACTGGAGGAGAGGGACAGTGCCGGCAGCTGCCAGCAGGGAGCCAGCAGGGTCAGCTCTCCACTGTCCCTGGGATTGGTCCACAGCCCCATGTGTGAGTGGCTGTGCTGAGGATAGGTGCCCATCCCTGAGGGACCCCATCCGAGACCCTGCCTGGTCTCCCCTCACTGCCCTGCTCACCTCTGGGCTCTGGCAATCCTGGCCATGGTGGTGCTGAAGGGATGACCCTTCCGTCAGGTTTGGGACTGTGATCTGGGCCTGGAAGCTCCCGAGGGAGTGGGTGCTGCTGAGACAAACTCCTGCTTCTGCCCTGGCTCCTGCCATGAGGACACATGAACAAACCCTGACCCCACTGTCCCACCACTGCCCCAAAACCCCAGGGGCTTCCTGAACTTCAGCTGATACCAGTGGCCCTGGCTCTCACCGCTTCCCCTGGTGTGGCTGGGGGTGCCTGTGGAGCTGATGGAAGCCAGGCAGAGCCGTGTCCTCCTGTCTGAGGGGCAGAACACCAGCACTTCCCTCGGGGGGGGCTGGCTGTGGCACGGGGTGCACTGGCAGTACCTGTGGGAGAACAGAGAGGGCAAGGCTGCTATGTCACACTGTGCCACCCCCCTCCAAAGAGTCCTGGGGCTGTACCTGGGACACGGTGGCATCAGCTGGCCCCGGGCAGCACTGTGGGCACCCTGGGCAGCTGGAGCGGCTGGAGGCAGGAGGCAGCTTCTGCAAGAGGGGACAGCAGCAGGTGGGTGGTTTGTGCCGTGGGTAGGATATGCATGGAGCCCAGGGCCCCCCACTCTCACCGGCAGTCGGGGGACAGAGGCAGATCTTGTATTGGTCTGCTGCAGCCTTGTGGAGTGGCCAGGGGGGATCTGGGGGGCGTGGGCACTCCGGAGCAGGGGCTGGCTGTCACAGGAGCTGCGGGTGGCTCTGTGGGACGGGCCATCTGGGCATGTCACCACTGGGGTCTGGGGACAGCCAGGGCTGCCTGGGGAGCAGTGAGGGAACAGGGCAGGGCGTTGGCAGCCTTCAGAGAACCTCAGAGCCCTGCCCAGCCTCACAGAGTTCCTGTGAGAAGTTGGTGGCACTGAGTGATGCCTGGCTGGGGGCTCAGGCTGTCCCATTGGCCCCTTGATCCCCTGTTCAGGGGTCCCACACATGCTGCCCATACCTCATGTGCTTGTTCTCCACCATGAAATCCCTGAGGAGACCGTAGAGGCTGGGCCAGGCAGGCGTTCCCTCTGAATGGAGTTGCCCTTCAAGAGGGAGGTGATGCAGCCCTGTGGGGCCATACCTGCCTCCCCAGCTCGTGCAAGCTTTAGGAGGGTTCTCTGGGACCTCTGTGCTTCTCATTGGCACTCTGGGCAGGCACAGCTGCTGGCGCAGGGAGAGGTTTTCCAGCTTTAGGGCATGGATTTCTTCTTCCAAGGTTTGCAGCAGCTTCTCCCGGGACACCTGGGAGCATAAGGGGGTGGCTCAGGGGGTCTGAAAAGAATGGCAGAGGCACTCAGAGGGGTTCCCTGTCTGTGATACCCTGTTGGCCAGGGGTCTGGTAGTGACCCTCCGGGCCCGGCTGGCATAGTGCAGGGTGCTCAGTGTCTCCGAGAGGCAGCGTGAAGACGGGGAGACGCAGGCGACCTGCAGACAAGGAAGAGACTCAGGTGAGTTGTCACCATCCTCCTCCAGCCTTCCAACCCATGGGGCAAGACCCCTGCCCAGCCCTCCTCAGTGCATGTACCATCAGGGTGATGCCCGAGCCGCCCAGGGAGCGGGCCAGCAGCCGGGTGAGTTTGCTGTCCCGGTATGGGATGTGCGTCCACTTCCCTCGGGGTTTGGCCAACAGAGAGATGCAGTGTCCTGCCAGAGGGTGAGCCACAGAGGGTGCAACAGGGCTCTGGTGAGGACCAGCAGCTTGTGCTCCCCTGGTGGGTCCCACAACTCTTACCCAGTGCCAGGAGGCTGCGGTTGATGCTGTTGGCCTCCACGGAGAGCTCCCCACTGGAGCCAGTCTCCTTCACCCGCTCGCTGCCGGCCAAGTCCACAAAGCAGAGTGTGCCCTGCTTGCTGGGACAGGCGCTGGGCTGGGGGACCCGTGTTAGGGGAGTAATGCTTTGGTGCCCCTCAACCCTTCCCTGTGGCCCACAGCAGTGCCCAACCTCTGGGTCTGGGATTGTTCACCACAGCCCCACCATTGTGGCCTTGAGGAGGAGGACATGACCCCACCAGCCTGGGGCTGTTTGCACCACCACGATGAGCCCTGGGCCCCCCAAACCCTCCCCCAGAGCAGGACATGTGCTCACAGCCCGGCTGCGGATGTGGATGGTCAGAAGAGCGTGGCTGCGGCTTGAGTGCCTGTTGAGGGCATGTGCCGAGGTCCGTCGCCTTTGGGATCCTGACGGGGATGGAATTGAGAGCTGCAGGGAGGCAGGACACCCCGCACTCCGGTACAGCGTGTACTGCCCACCCCCTGCCACATAGGAGCCTGCCTTGGCTCTGCAGCAGGAAGGGAAACTGTTCCTCTTGGCTGCCATGGGAGCCCCACCAGCCCTGGGGACAGTCTGCAGGGAGCTGAATCCCCCCATACCAGGCCTAGAACCCCCTGAACATGCCCCAGCTCTGCACCCGTGGCACAGCACCTTGCAGGAGCAGGCTGACGATGGCCTCCAGGCTCTCGAAGTCCACGCTGAGCTGGTTCTCCACGTAGAAGCCGCGGGTTTTGCTCCACCGCAGGGGCAGAGCACACGGCGGCCCCGGGCTCAGCAGGTCCCGGATCTGGGGGTGTGGCAGAGGGAAGGCACAGGGGGAGCGGGGCACAGGGTGCTGGCAGGGCCAAATTGGGGGCCAGGCAGGCACTTACCTGCTCGTTGTAGATCTCCAGGTAGGAAGCACTGAGAACCAGGTCTGAGCCGCGGCTCTGGCTCTGCTCCAGGAGGCAGGCGAAGGACCTCTGCATCAGCCCCAGCAGGGCCGGGGATGCTGGTTGGGTCTCACTCTTCAGAGTAGCCAGAATGGTGAGTGGTCAATAGTATCGGTCACCCACCTGCTCCCAGAGCCCATGACTGGGTGGGAAGAGTCCATCCCACCACCAGGATCAGGTCAGGTCCGGGGGGACAGCACTGTACCTGGGCAAGGGGTCCCATCAGGGTGTAGGTCTTCCCTGAGCCGGTCTGCCCGAAGGCAAAGACGGTGCAGGAGAAGCTGGGGAAGATGCTGAGCGTCAGGCATGGCCCCAGGCGGTGGCACAGGGATGCCACCTCCCGACAGAGCCCCGGCAGTGCAGACCCGCCGACGATACCCGGCATGGGGTGGATGGAGGATTGGGGTCCAGAAGGGGCTGGCCGGGACTTACCCATCTATCGCCAGCTCCACCAGCTGTCTCATCCCGCTGCCTTCGAACACAGCCTCCTGGGTAGGCGCCGGCGTCGAACACGGCGCTGAAACCAAAGGTGGCATCGTGCCTCGCCGCGCTCACCTGGGCGTGGGGATAGAGGCAGCTCAGAGGGTGCCTCAGCCCCCCCCGATCCCTCGGCGGGGAAGTGGCACTTACGTGGACCGCGCCGTCACCGAGGCTGTGCACAACCCGCCGGTCACCTCGCCGCGTCTCCGTGCAGGTCAGTGGTCGGACCCTAGCGATGGGGCGTGCAGGGGGGGGACACAGAGGTGCCACTACTTGTGGACCCTGGGGAGCTCCGCTGTGCCCCTGCCCCAGGCAGGGAGGTCCCTACCGCGTCCCCGAGCTCTCCGCGTCCCGCTCCTTACCTTAGCACCACCCTCAGCCGCGTCTCTCTGCCCTCCCCGGGGCGCTCCCGCTCCTCTCCGGGGCTCCTGTGGGGAGCAGAGGGCAGCGGGGCGGTGGGTGACCCCCAGATGGGGGTTCTCCCGGCCGGAACCCCGGGGCTGGGGTAGATGGACCCCCAGTCATGCTGCGCTCAAGCCGCCCTCCCACCCTCACTGTGCCCTGGGGCCTGGCAGGGAACAGAGCTCAGTGTCCCCCCATGACTCCGCAGAGGGACGGTCCTGTGCCCCCCCCGACTTTTTTCTATGCCTCTCCCCGCCGGCTGCATTAGCCGGGACGTCACTGCCCGGGTCCTGCTGCTCCAGGACGCGGTGGTTTCCCTCCATCTCCCTCACAACTTACGGTCTCTCCTGGCCCCTTGGGAGCGTTCTGGGCCGGGGATCCATCTGGAGCTCCCCGCCCCGCTCCCCCTCCGGCTCCATGCGCCCCCCAGCACCCCGTGCTCGGGGGTGCCCGCAGCTCCCGGCCGATCCCGGCGGGAGCCACCGCCAGCCGGCCCGGGCTGCCCCGCTCAACCGGTACCACCGCTCCGGTTAAACATTGACCGTGCCAGCCACGCAGGAGAGCGGCGGCCGCACGGCGGGGGCGAGCGGGGGCGGGCGGGAGCCGGGAGGGGCGTGGAGGGGTGGCAGGTGGGTCACTGAGCCCAGGGATTCTCACGGGTCGTACTGTGCCCCGACGGCGGCGGGGTGGATGCCAGTACGAGCAGTGATGGAATTACTGGTCGCGGGGGGTGCTGGGGGAGACGGCCCCCGAGTCAGCCGGGGCTATCGGGCACTGCCATCAGAGGCGCGGAGCGAGGACCGGCCCCGGGAGCCGTTGGGAAGAGATGGGGCGGGGGGACAGCACCACCCGCTCGGGGCGGTCCCAGCCCGCCGGGGGGGACTCAGGGGGGATAAAAGCCGGGGCGGCGACGGCGGGGCCGGGGGAGCCGGGCAGGATGAGCGCGGCCCCGGGCACCTCCCGCGCCCCCCAGCCGCTGCTCCGCTTCCCCGAGGGCGGGCGGGCCGAGGCGGTGGGAGGGCAGCGGGGGGAGGTGGTGGCCCGGGGCCGTGCCCCTGCCCCTGCCCAGGGGGGCCGCGAAAGCGGCGGCGGACCACGTTCAGCCGGGGGCAGCTGTCGGAGCTGGAGCGGGCCTTCGCCGCAGTGCCCTACCCGGACATCGCCACCCGGGAGCGCCTGGCCGAGCTCACCCAGCTGCCCGAGGCCAAGATCCAGGTGAGTGCGGAACGGACCCTCCTCTCCATCCCACCCTCTCGGGGCCGGGACCTCCTTTCTTCCCCGGGGGGCTGCCCCGTCGGGCCGCTGTCGGTGTCTCACAGTTCCCCTCGCCCGTCCCAGGTCTGGTTCCAGAACCGCCGCGCCCGCAGGATCCGCAGCGCCAAACCGGAGCTGCTGCCTCTACCGCCGCTGCCGCCTCCCGGGGAGCGGGGTCCCCCAGCAGCACCCCCCGACGGCAGCACCCCGGACCCGGCCCCTGCCCTGCCACCGCCGGGAGCCCGCAGCCCTGCTCGGGGCCTCCCCACCTCGCTGGGCTCCATCTCCGACCTCATCTACAGCGCGGCCATCACCAACCTGGGCGAGCTGTAGCCGTGGTGGGGAGCCCCTGGGCAGTGGGGACCCCAATGGCATCGCGGCCCCTGCGGATTAACACCACGATTTCATTAGGGTGTGGAATTACTGCCGGTCCTGAAGGTCCTGAGGATGTCATCCAATATCCTAAATGCCGGTGCGGCTGTGGCGGGGGCAGCTCCACATCAGCCCCCTAATACCAACTAATCTTTTGGAAAAAAATACCTTAATCTGGGGCCGTATCCACGGATGATTGTGGCGCAGCCGCCCCTAATCCGCAGGCACGTTCGCAGGTGCCGGCAGATCTCCCCGTATCGGATATTAAACCGTGTTTCCACAGGGGCTTAGCTGCCATCAGAGCATTAATCACCGTGTCCGGCCCTGGCAGGGCGCCCACCCGGCAGGTGTCCAGGTCCCCAGGGCCTGGCAGGGACAGCCTGGGTGCCCCCTCCCCACTGGCTGCACTGAGCTGGCTCTGCTCTCCGCTTCATGGCACCCAAAAAGCCCCCAGGATGTGCATTAAGGTGCAATCCCCTCCCTACCCGCAGAAGCCGGGTACCCTTTGGCAGAGGGTTGGGAGCACCATGCATCCCTCACTGCTCCAGCTATGGCTCCTGCTCCTCCCTGAGGCACCAAGAGCCACAGGGCCATGGCTCAGGTCATGCAGCTCCTGTGTGAGGACACTGAAGCCGGGTGCCAACCCCAAAGTGGCTGCACCAAACTCTGTTATCCTCCTGAATGGATCTGTGTTAATGGGGAAAGGGCTCATCCCCAGACACCAGCTGGGTTGGGTGCTGCCATCTGAGCCTCGAGAGAATAACAGTTCCCAAAAGCGAGTGAGGGACCAGGCAGAGCAGAGGGCAGGCAGAGAGCGGTTTTAACAGGAGATGGAGCAGGATGCGGAGGGAAAGGGAAGATTCACAGCTCCCTGTGGTGTCTTTTACATGCGTGTTCCACATATCAGCAGATGTCCCCCAACACGAAGGAAGAAGGTTATGAACAATGTTATTTATTTCCAGAATAAAAGGATAGGAACTTCACAGAACAGGGATGGTGGGAGCTGACGCCCCTCTCCATGCTGGGGTGGTCAGAATCCACAGCCGTTCCCTCTCCTGTTCTGCAGCTGTGGGATTTTCAACCCATGATTCATTTTGGGAACAGGAAGCAAAGGACGAGCCTGAGAAGTGCAGCTGTCTTCCCGTAGCAGGAGCAGGTAAAAACAGATGGAAGAAGATAAACCTGTCCCAAATTTCAGCTCCTGGGGAGGACAAAAGCCTCCAGCATGAAGGCTGCAGTTCATGGTCATAGTTTCCCGAGGTCTCCTTCGAGGGTCCGCACCATCATGTACAGCTCGGCCAAGCCCACCACCGAGGCCACAATGACGGCTGACAGGACACGCTGGGGACACAAAAGAGAGAGGGGTGACCCTGGGTGTGCAGTCCTGGTGCCACTCTGGGCTGGGCAGCACAGAGTGTGCTGCAGGGAGGCCGGGCTCGCTCACCGCTGCCGTCTCTGCGAAGACATACTGGCTGCCCAGGTAGGTGCAGGCGAAGGCGGCCACCACGGTGACAATGAAGTTGAATATGGTGATGACAACGGCCTTCACGGAGCGCACTGCGGGAGGGAACGGGGAAAGTGGCTGGTTTTAAGTAAGGCTGGGGAGAAGGGCTGGGGATAAGGTGTAATCACACTACAGAGCTGGCCCGGGGCTGCCTCAGCTGGGATACAGGAATCCTCCAGGAGTCACACGCTTGGTGCCTCCAGCAATATTGGTAAGAATGATCACCAGGCTCCTTTATTCAAGGAACACTTCAGTGTGTGAAAACCTTCTGGTGAGATATGCAGTCTGATGTCAACAGCTGGACATGGAACAGTTCCTGTGACTGACCTGCCATGAAACACTTCTGGATGTCAGCAGGACAGGCAGCCACTCACCTTGTCTCCCAAATTCAGCCAATGGCCCCTTCATCTCCTGAAAAAAGGGATTAAACCAACTTGTGATCAGTTGTATTTTAATGTTGATAATAACATGGTTATTGTGTGTGCAGAATAAAAGCAAAGCCAATGCCCTGTGCTGTCCTCAAGAATCCGAGGTTCAGAGAGGTTTTGGCGGGCTGTGGGGGAACAGCAGTTTCACAGAGCACAGGTTTCTCTGGGATTTTGTTTGTGGTCTGATTCAGGGCTGTTGAGACGGGATTGTTTCTAATCATAGCACTTCTCTGAGTGGGAGTGTTTTCTTGCATGTGAGTTCTCTGCTGCAGGTTTGTCTCTATTAGAGACACGAAAGTGTCTCACCTTGTCACCTGTTTCACACAGTTGGCAAGAATGAGATGGTGTCAAGCTCTGTTGTCACATCAGACATGGTTACACCATGATATGGGGGAGCAGGGAAGACGTGATGAGCACACGGGTGTGGGAAAACACTGATCTGCTCTGCTGTTTGGAAGGAACGTGGCTGCTTAGCTCTGCTAAAACCACCCCATGTCACAGATCACAGAAAGGTTTGGGTTGGGAGGGACCTTAAAGACCATCTCATTTCAACTCTCTGCCATAGGCAGGGACACCTTCCGCTAGATCAGGTTTCTCCAAGCCTCTTCCAGCCTGGAGTGGCCAAGCTTGGCAGAGACCAAAGCAACAGGAGGAAATGTGCAGGGACCTGAACACACAGGGATGCCAGGTACAGTGTGGAGGGATAACACGATGGGATCACACGGAACACCAGCAGGAAGGGATGTTGGCTTGTCCAAACAACTACTGTGCCAGAAAATCTCAGCTCTCTCAGGAAAGAAGGAGTGCTTAAATATTACTGTTTTTTCAGCTTTTACTCTGACATGATGAGGCCATTTTAAAACTATGACAAAAATGTAAGCAGCAGGGATGCTCCCAGTCAAACATTTACCTTGGGTGCTCAGTCTCCCAGATCAGAACCTGAGATCTTTGGCACGGGTGAGCAGTTCCCAAAAGTCAGTATGTCTGTTCACCACCCTGTTAACCCTGTCCTACCCCTGCCCTCAGCAAGGGATCTGTTGTTCCTGGTGCATTTACAGTGTGCTCTCCTCCAGTCTCCGCCACATTCCCTGTGCACTGCACACACTCTAAGGGGCAAATCTCTTTTGCTGTCAGGTGGCCACCTGTTTGAGGGATGAATCCTGGCAGCAGGCACTGCAGCAGCCCCTCACCTGGCCGGTGATGTTGCGGGTCATCCGCTGGTATTCCTCGTGTGCCAGCTTGGCCTTGATCCGCTCCAGCCTGGCCACCAGCTCGGGGTTCTGTGGGAAGCACAGACCCACCCTAAGAACCGGGGGCCGCCGCCACCTCCTCCCGCCTTACCTCTGCCCAGCCTTCACCTACCCGCGGCGGCACCGGCACCTCGGGCAGGTGGATCTCGCAGCCTTCCAGCAGCTCGTGCAGGTGCAGCGGGGACCCTGCGTGGGATGGGGTGGGGTGTGGGAAGCGCGGTCACGGCGCGGTCCCGGTAGGGTCACCGCCTCCCGCGGCGCGGCGCGGCCTACCTGCCTCCCGCAGCGCGGCGTGCAGCCTCCGCAGCAAGCTGAAAGGCACCAGCGCCCCTTCCGTCTCCAGCGCCGCCTCCACATCACCCCGCAGCCCCGCGGGCAGCGCCGCCAGCTCCCCGGCCCGCACCGCCCGCCGCAGCCGCGGCCCGGCCCGCACCGCCGACGCCATGGCGGCCCGGCGGCCGTCTCCAAGGCGACCGGGGGGCAGAGCACAGAGACGGCGGGGCGGAGCGGCCGCGCGGAGCGGGGGGGCGGCGGCGGGCGGCGCCGCGCGGTGCAGTGTGGGCCGCGGGCGGTGGGATGTCGGGCGGCGCGGCGCGGCGGTACGTGGCGGCGGCGCTGGGCCGGGCCCGGGCCCGCGGGCCGCCCCCGCTCTGGGAGCCGCCCCCCGCCCGCCACCTGCGCGCTCTGGGCGCCGGGCTGGGCGCCGCGGCGTTCCCGCCGCCGCTGCTGCTGCCGCCGCGGAGGCACCTGTCGTCGCGGTGAGGCCTGTGGGGGGGTTGGTGGTGTTTGGGCCCTGGGCGGTGGGGGGCTGAGGAGGGTTTAGGGGAGGGCAGGGGTTGTTGGGGGTTTGGGGAAACAGGCGGTGAGGGCCTGCGAGTGCTGGGAATGGGAGCGATTGGGAAGGGGCTCGAGGGTCGCAGGGGGTGTTTGGGGTGCAGGTTGAGGGGAGGGTTGGGGTGGCAGGTGTGAGGGGCTGTGAGGGGCTGTTTAGGAATGGGAGTGATTGAGAGTGTGGTTGGGGTGCGGTGTAGGGGCGGTTGGGTCGTTGGGGAAAGATTGGGAAGGAGCGAGAGGGGCTGTGGGGGGTATTTGGGGATAAGGGTGATTGGAGCTGGGGGTGGGCTCTCAGTAGGTGTTTGGGGAGCGGGTTGGGGGCTGTTGGGTCATTGGAGGAAGACTAAGAAGGAGTTGGGCTTGCTGGGGCAGGGATCTGGGATGGGGATGTGGAGGACACTTGAGAAAGGGGACACTGGCAAAGGGTGGGGGCAGGAGGTAGGGCTGGGCAGCCCAGTGCATAGTGGGGCTCTCATGTGGGACGTGTAGTCCCCGAGGGAGGCACAAGATGGGAGCAGTGTCTGCCTGTGACCGTGGGCTTGGGTGCTGTGTCCCCCTGGCCTAGGGGCTGGTTCAGCCCCCGCAAACCCTCCAAGCTGCCTCTCTGCTCCAAGGAACCGTCCGGAGGGCAAAGTGCTGGAGACTGTGGGGGTGTTTGAGGCCCCGAAGCAACATGGCAAATATGAGACTGGTCAGGTAAGGGGCTCTAGGGGCAGAGCTGACCCTGCTTATGCCACAGGGATTAGACAGCCGAGGGATTTCTCTTGGGGAGGCTGCTGTAGTGTAGCAGAAGGCCAGAAGCTTCACAGCTCATTGGTCTTTGTCTCTGCTGTGTCTGCAGTTTGTCAGTCATCTGACAGTAGCAGGTCGATAAGAATCTACAGCACCAGTGACATTTGCTCCACTGAGGGTTTTCTCCCTCAGGGATCGGAAGAGGCAGTCTCTGAATTTAAGAAATAACAATTAAATTTGTCATTTATATGCTTATGACTCACATACTCTGTTCCTGAGCAGTTTCTGCTGTGCTAGTCTGCTTTCTGCTGCTCTATTAATTATTGGTTTAGTCCCCTTTTATGGGATAGAGATGACATGGATTTCTTCTCTCATCCCAGACTGTTTGTGTTCCCTGTTTCTGCACTAGGTTCTCACAGTGGTGACTCTCCCTGTATTCCCATCCCACTCATTCAAACCCTTTGTAAATGTTTCTAGTTTTACCTCAGTTAACAGATCTTTAAAATACTATCAGAAAAGGGCTTTTGGCTTAATGTTTTCTGTTGTATCTGTGTTGATTAAAGCTTGCTGTGAATTCAACTGCAGTTATTTGTTCCTTTCAGCTCTTCCTGCACAGTGTGTTTGGCTATCGAGGAATAGTCCTGTTTCCCTGGCAAGCCAGGCTTTATGATCGAGATGTGGCTTCTCCTGTCACAGAAAAGTAAGGATTTGAGGGTTTGTTCTGCCTTATGTTGCTGTGCTGTTACATTTTCATTTTGTGGCAAGTTTCCTGGTTGGGGTAAACAGGTGTTTTTAAGGAGGCCGATGGTATGTTTGCACAAGTGTAAAGTAGGAGAGGTGCTTAAAGAAGAGACTTTGCAGGTGTATTAATTTTGTGTTAATTAGAGATGGGATGAAAGTATGTGTGTGTGTGAAAGAAATAAAAAACAATTAAAAAACCCATGCTCCTGGCATTTTGCTTTATAAGAAACCTACTCATTTTGAGTTAGGTCCAGGTTTCTGTGTTACAAATTGCAGGGCTGCTGCTGCTCCTTCTGAACTGCCAGTGAGCTGGATTTGTCAGCCTCCTTCCAATTTCAACCCACTAGGCCAGGTTCATCCTTCTTGAGTTGCTGTTCAGTTCTCTCCCCTCTTGCATCCCTTTCCCCTGTGATGAGGTGTGCTGGGAAGGAATAAGGATCAAACAGCGGAAAATCAGAGGGCAGTAGGAATTACTCATCCCAGAGAGGAGACTGGACTGAACAGCAAGAACCTCTGAGATGTCTGACAACAGAGCTGTTCTGTCTCTGCCAAACACCATCAGTGGGCATCTTGGCTCATCTCTCTGTCATTGTGTGGGTGGCTGACAAGGGTTTGGTTTGGATGGAATTAAATGATTACAGACTGGGAAATGTATTTATTTTTTTCTCTTAAATCATTGTTTGTGAATGTGCTTGGTTCTGGTACCAAGAAGTTGCTGCAATCCTGCACTTGAGCTCAGAGCTCTGCTTTTCTCTTTAGGAACGAGAATGTGGCAGGCCACGGTTCCAAAGAAGTCAAGGGCAAAACACACACTTACTACCAGGTGTTAATAGATGCCCGGGATTGTCCACATATAGTAAGTAAGGAGTAATCTTGGTATTGAAACTCAAGTGTCTTCTTCTATGTGAGTGGGTCAGGTGGACAGGCACTGAAAGAAAATGGCTGTGGTGGCTAAATTTGACTAGGATAAATTCATTCTTCAAGACGCATTTTACCTGAGAAAGGTACACTGGAATGTCATATCACTGTTTTCTGGATTGTGTTTCCCCTTTCCGGCATCCTTTCCTCTCCCTGTTGTCGTTCCCACTCCGTTGCATGCACATTGTGAATGTGGGTTGCAGCACTGGAAATGCTCCTCACTTGTTAGTTAGTCTAGAGGAATGAAAAGGAGAGGTGTTCTGAGGTGAATTGGTTAAATAGAATAAACATTTTACGCTTTACAAACCACAGTGGTAAACTGGAGCGTGGCTGGCAACTGGCCCACAGCAATCCACACAGAAAGACATAAGCTTCCCTTTTTCTCAGTCTCAGAGATCACAGACGGAAGCAGTGACGTTCCTGGCAAATCACGACGACAGCAGAGCCCTCTATGCCATCCCAGGTGAGCAAAATCCTCCTTCAGCCTCTGATTGTCGTGAGGGGAGGTCAGAAGAGTCACCAGTGGTCAGCTCCTGCCAGCAGCAATTCCTACAAGACATTCTTGTTGTGGATTTGTCCGTAGTTTAGGGCTGTGCTGGAAGCAACAGAGTGACTAAAGTACATGAAGCCCTTTGGAGAGCTGGAAGTTGGGCACTCTGTGATCAGACACAGCTGTGCCTGATTTAATCTCTTGAGACACAGGTCGCATACAAAGTTGCATATAGGCTGTTCTTTTGTTTGGAGCAGTGCAGGCACTTTGCAGGCAGTGCGTGTTTAGCAGAGGAATCATTCCATGGAGAAATCTCACAGGAGAACACTGCCAAGGGTTATTGCTGGCCTATTTCCCCTGTTCTTGCTTGCAGTCATGGTATTAGCTTCAGATTCTGCTGCCAAAGTCCTTTTCTTAACTTGTCACTAATGTGATCCATTTTTCTACCAGGAGACTTCCAAGCTGCTCATTGGCTGGGGAAGTTCCAAGGCTTTTGGGGTTTCTTTTTCAGGTTTAGACTATGTAAGCCATGAAGATATCCTTCCCTACAGCTCCACTGATCAAGTGCCCATCCAGCATGAACTCTTTGAGAGGTTCCTCATGTACGACCAAACAAAAGGTAATTTCTGGCTGCACTGGGTACTCTTCTGAGCCAGATGCTTGAACAAGTGCTCAAAACTGATCATCTTGGATATGGGGTAAAAATCATACCTACTTTGGAGTTTGTTACAGTAAAGCCACCTCTCAATAATTTTTTTAACTTGAAAGGAGTCACTTTGAGGGAAGAGCACTCCAGGTACAGTATTGCCTCTCATAAACTCTTCCCTTTCCCTCCCCACAGTCCCACCTTTTGTAGCAAGGGATACTCTGTGTGCATGGCAGGAGAAGAACCACCCCTGGCTGGAGCTCTCTGACGTGCACCGAGAAACCACGGAGAACATCCGCGTCACAGTCATCCCTTTCTACATGGGCATGAGGGTAGGTGTGTGCTGCATGTTGGTGTGTTAGTTCTGCCATCTGCTTAACTGACATGTTTTTTTCTAAAATCAGTTTACTGACTTAAGGTGCTTTCTCCTTACTGGAGAAATGACATTTTAATGGCAGTTAATGACAGAAATGACTTTTTAATCACGGTTGCGATTTCATTCTCATGATGTACAGCACAGGTGTGAACAGGAAACTGTTTTGTCGTGCATTTTTGGAGAACGGCTCCTGTATTTTGGCATTTGCTTGTAGATGGGAATTACCCTGTAATTCCCCTCAGTAGAATGGGAATTACCCTGTAATGTTCTGCAGAGCAGTGCTAGCAACATATTTAGTAAGGCTTGTGAGTTAGTCCTGTACTGCCTCACTCAGAGATGGATGTGCATGAGGTGGCACCGGGGCCGTCTGCTCTGTAACGACAGAAACATCTGTTATCCTGCTCAATGATGGGCTTGGGTGTCTGCCCGTTTGCTGGCTCCACTGTGGGTTAGAGGGTTTGGCTGAAGCCTTCTGGATTTAGCTGATAACCATGTGCTCTTTATAGCATAAGAATTTCACGTGGACCATCCGAAATAATGAGGCTCCAACAGACTCCTGAGTGGGAGGGCTGGGAATTCCCAGCGTGGTTTGGTTTCTGAGCACAGCTGCCAGGGACCCCGCGCCATGGCAGGTGGACGTTTTGGTGTGGATTTGCAACTTTTGTAGAGCCCAACTGATGTTTGTCCTAACCTTGTCAGAAAAACAGGTGCCTGAAGGCAAGGAAACGGGTGTTTCTAGATCTGTAGAAAGTGCGTAATTAACATGGAGCTCAACCCTGGGTTGTCACGAGATCCTTGCAAATCTCCCACCTCATGGTTACATGGGTAGAGCAGAGCCAGTGCCAGGCTATGCTGATGGACGGCCTCGGAGAGCAGCTGTCTGTGCTCATGTGAGTTGTCTGCGTCAACCTGGCACGGAGCGAGAGCCCCTGTGCTGGTGCTATGCTGACAGCTGAAGAGGTTTTGGCACCGTGTGTTGAAGGGCAGCTGCTAAAGTCTTTTTGTTTCTTTTGACAGGAAGCTCAGAATTCCCATGTCTACTGGGTAAGTGCCTTTTGTTTCACGGAGCAGCTAAAGGGAAGGCGTTTATTTGCCGTGGCATCATTGCTGTGTGATAAGCTCTGAGGGAGAGTAGCCCTTGCCTGGCAACTGTTTCCCAGTATCAGCTGTGGGTTATCAACTGGCTGCAGCTGATTCCAGTCCTTGATAGGAGTCTTTGTTCTGTCCAGTGGCGCTACTGTATTCGCCTGGAGAACCTTGACAGTGAAGTGGTTCAGCTCCGAGAGCGGCACTGGAGGATATTTAGCTTGTCTGGCACCTTGGAAACAGTCCGGGGCCGTGGTGTTGTAGGAAGGGTAAGTATCATGCAGCCTTTTTTTTAGGAAGCCCTCTCGGTTGGTTGGGTTGATTTGCCTTAAAAATTGCTTAGTGGGCAGTGGAAATAGATGGAATGGGAAGCTGGCAGTGAAAAGAGTCACAAGCTTTTTGTCTGTTGTTAAGTCTGCATGAACCAAAACTTCACACTGAGTATTAGAGAATGATCCTAAATGACTGGTGATGGGAAAACTGGGATAATAACAGGGTTCTAGCAGTACTCACTGGTAGCAGTGCTGAAGTGTGGGTCTCTGGGGCTTTTTTTTTCATGCTGTATGAATTTCCTGTTGATGCTTGTCTGTGGAAGAATGTTAAGATCTGTTGCTGATGCCCAGTGGTCTTCTGTCTCCTCAGGAGCCAGTTCTGTCCAAAGAACAGCCAGCATTTCAGTACAGCAGTCACGTCTCCCTGCAGGCTTCCAGTGGTCACATGTGGTAAGAAGCCCTTATTACTGAAGCAGTGTTTTAGATGTAGGACCCCACAGTGGTGAGCTTTGCAGCCTGGAGTTATGGCTGAAAGCTGTGTGGAAGTGGACTGGATGGGACATATTTGGTAGTTAAAATTTGATGAGCTAAGATGATCTGTTGATTATCTGCACCAGGAGAGGTTCCAGGCTAATTTATCCTCCTTCTGTGGTCTGTGCTAGATTGGATTTGAAGATACAAAGCAGTTCTCTATCATCTGCTTCTATACTCAGCTTCTGTCCCTTTCACTCCGTGGTGCAAGAAGCAAGGCCTTGTGCTGGTGATTCCCTTGGCAGCAGGGATGTGGGTACTGGTATCCCTCTCCTGGGAAAGGACTGGGCTTTAATTCTATCCCTATGCAGTTCTGTGTCCACAAGGAATTGGCATGCAGCGGTTTTTCCCAGTGTAGACCAGATAAGGCCTTCAGCCCAACTGATTTTCAAGTCTCCCCTTCTGTGAGTGCAGGTAGGGAAGTGCTCAATAGAGCTGTTCTTTCCCTGTGCCACAGGGTTAAAGCAGTTTCCCTTTATTTGCATTTTGGCTGTGTTAACACATTCAGTGTCAGCTCTGTGTGGACATGGAATGCACAGACACCTCTTGCCTTCTGTATGACAGGTTTTTCTGGCTTGCCTTTTTTAATCTGCTTCAGAGTTAAGCTGCCTTTGAGTTGGAAAAAGCAGGAGAGCAGCTCTTTGCATATAGGATATACCCTGTTTTGCCATGTCAAGCATTTTGAATTGCCTGAGTGCATGCCTTGGGGAATAAAACCAGATGGTCTAGTAGTTTTTTCCCCTCTGCAAACTTCCTGAAGAGAAAGAGGCAAAGGTTCTGCAGTTCAGAAGCTGCTCAGCTTCACTTCTGGTGTTCAGTTGTGTCCTCTCTGTCCTGAGAATGTGTTGGTTTATCCCCATGATCCTTCTACCCATGTCATGTCCTGCAGTACAATCATCTGTTGTTCGGAGCAGTAAATTAATTCATTGTACAAGGACAAGCTGGTTCAATCCTGAAATGCAAAGCAGAAGCTATTCCAAATTACATCTGTGATGGGATTTCTTGTTGTCACAGATGACTTAACAAGTGGAGCTTCTGCCAAGGAATACAAATCTGAATTTACATGTAATCAGCTTGTAAAAATAACTTGGATGGTTCTGTCTCCTGTGGAGTGGGAGTTGGGTGAACACCACTGCAGGTGCATGGAAGGTGCTTGCCCCCTGTGGACTCCAATCATCACAGCTTGTGCAGAAAATGTGTGTTAGATGTGATGTAAAACCACCCAGGAGTCCTCGATAAATGAGTCATCTTGGCAGCAGATGTTCCTGCTGCTGAACCCATGTCCTTGCTGCTGGATCAGCCTTGTAGACAGACCCCCAGAGTCCCTGTGCAGGATATGGAAGAGCTCATGTCTTACCTTCTTGCTGATGCTTCCTAGCTGTGTTTGTCCCTGGCCTCAGTGTGATCTCTACCATTATTTTGCAGGGGTACTTTTCGATTTGAGAGGCCTGATGGCTCCCACTTTGATGTCCGAATCCCACCCTTTTCTCTGGAAAGCAACAAAGACGAGAAGACCCCTCCCTCCGGCCTTCACTGGTAGATCAGAGCGAGTGCTGAGACCCACAGAGGCCTGTGTGTGTTGTAGACCTTTGCCTCCCCATTTATGCTGCAGCCAAGAACACAGAGCTTTTAAACATTTTAAACCATTTTTGTTTTAACTGTTGTCTGATGGGGAGGCTTTTTGGAACTTTAATACCGGCTCTCTCAGGCTGCTTGTAAAACGTAAGCTGTGTTACAGGTAACCCTTCCCTTTGTGGCACCTGCTGGGGTTGGAGCTGGGGGATGTAGATGGTGCTGCTGCAGAAGAACTGGCCCCCCTTGGCAGGCCTGGACCCTTTCCAATGTGTTGTGACTTCTCTGCAATGTGAGGTTTCTCTAATAAACTGGCCCTTCCAGTTGCAACCAGTCTTCCTTCGTAAACCAAGGCCTTGGCTTTGCATCCAGCCTGTCCCAGCTTGTTGCTCCCCCTGTGTGGAGTCAGCCCAGAGCTCTTGCCGCTTCAGAAGGAGAAGGCAGCAGTGAGGCTGTTCTAGGGAGCAGGAATGTGAGCTCAGCCTCCCTGCAGTGCAGATGCTTTTTGGGATTCAGCCAGGGCTGGAGCAGCCTGTGAGCTCCACTCCTCATGGCACTGGGCTGCGTCCTGTGATGTGAAGCCCGTTTTTTGGACAAGAGGGTGCAGAGGGGACAAGGTGGGTGACAGGTGGTGCTGAACAAGTGCTGTCACAGTGTCCTGTGTGTGCTGAGCACCAGGCTGCGTGTTGTGATGGTAACAAGAGAGCTAAAGGGAGCCCTCCCCTGCTAGGGCTTGCCTTGCTGCAGGGATTTATATTCCAGCTGCAGGGAGGGTTCTTCCCCGCTCACACTGCAGCTGTGTCCATATTTCCTTGGTAGTTTCTGCTTTGAGAGGAAGAACTTGTTTTCACTTGCAGTGTTGTCAGCCTCGGTGAGGGAGTGCTTGGCTTTCTGCTCCTCTTTGCTTGGATTGTGATTTTCTGGTAGTGTGTGTGAAGGGCCCTGCAGAACTCTGCAGGTCACTGTAAGCCTATGATAAATGGATATTTGGGAATTTTTACACATGAAGGGCCAAATCCACAGTGCAAGTCAGGTGTTGGCTCTTCTTACAAGCTCGAGCATCTCTCAGCAGCTTTGAGAATTGCAGATATCTAGAGAGGCGTCAGCCTCTTTGGTGGGACCCTTCTGGCTGTCTCTGGGTGTCCAGACATCTGGGTGACTAGCAGGGGCAGAGGTAGTCGGCTTTGGGATAATCCTAAGCAGAAAATTTCCAACCTTGCTCCTTTCCCTGGTCTTTCTCAAATGACAAGGTATAATGTAACTCATGGGATGTTTTTCTTGATTTAGAAGTATCTTAGTTATTCCCTTTTCCCCCAGGTTCCCTCTGAGCAACCTCTTTGCATTTGTCTCTGCAAGGCAGAGCTGTGGCAGTGCTATGGGCTGTCTTGGCTGATGGACAAACAGCCTTGACACTGGGAGAGATTCTCATGCTCTCTCAGCCAGCAGATTCCCATCTAGAGAGACTTAATACTGCAGTGTTTATCTGTCATTGGTCTCTTCATTTTGTGTCTTCCTTCCTCTCAGGTAGTACAAGCTAATATTTAGAATTTGAAAGGTTTAAACAACCAGTCTGCTTTTAGGGGTAGAAAAGGATCCCTGAAGACCAGCCATGACATGATCAGTCATCCTGATTTCCTCGCAGGAGGAAAAGGGGTGGGGGGAAGATGCCTCAAGTTCAGAGGCAGCAGGGATCTGCAGGAACCTGTGCTTTCCCTCCTGTGCAGTTTCTCTGTCGGGTGGGAGTAGCAGCTGCCCTGCCTCTCCCTTGGGTTGCTCCAGCTTTACTGGCAATTGCAACACCACTGTCAATGTTTAACCCTGCTGCTCACCCGCGTGTTTCTGGGGTGCTGTGGCCCTAATGCTTCCCATAACAAGCAGAGAGCTGTTACCCCTACGGGATGGAGTGGTCCTCGGGCAGGGGCTCTGCCAGGGCCAGCTTTGGCAGCTGTGAGGTGCCCATGAGTGTGTGTGCTGTGATATGCCCCCGGGGCTGGGGAGGGCTGAGGCCTCTGCCTAGGAGCAGACATTCCTGGCTGGATAATGATTGGCAAGACCGAGGTCACCAGCGCTGCCGGTAACAGGCGGGCCGAGGCACGGTAGGAATGTTTCTACTCCATCAGTCCTTGTGGAGTGGGCAGGGCTGACCTGCCCGGGGGCCTGGGTGCCATGCCAGGGGCTCGGCAGGGCCTTTCCCCAACTACTTCATCCCTCAGGCCCCTTCCCGGAGCGCTGTCCCTCTCTGTGTAAATACCTCTGTACAAAGAACCAACCAATAAAGCGCTGAAGGAATGGCTCTGGCTCACGGCTCTCATTGTCCCGCGGCACTACGGGCATCAACCCCACTCCCCTCTCCTCTGATACCAAAGAGTGGCAGAAACAAACTTCTCAACACCAATTTGTAGGTATTAAAAAGGGCATTCCTCTTTATTCAGCGTGCTGGACGTTCGGAGCATAGCTTCTCTAATCCGAATGTACCAAGTGACATGGACAGGGCTTTTTATTACACATACTATTTACATATTCATTAGTTATTCTCCTTTCCTTGATACATATTCATTAGTTTGCTTTACATAACCACTCCTCTTTTGGAAAGTCCTTTGGTTGATTCGGGCCTTCTGGTCTTGACCTCAGCGCTGGCGCAGGTACAGCGTCAATGTGCTGTAACGTTTGTTCTTTATTTTATCTGGGCACACCGAGCTTAATTTACGTCCCGTTTGTTCGAGTTACATCCCTCCCATCTAACTCTCGAGGACTTAATTCTAAGATTACATCGTTCCTTATTTGGGCGTTCCGGGGTACTGCGAGTGAAGTTTCTATTTCTCCCGTCGCCTCCCTTCCCGCGGCTCGCCCCGTGCCGGGTGAATCCGTCTGTCGCGTGGGAGGATGGTGTGTCCCGGGGGTCCCTCCCCTCCCTCCTCCCCTCCCTCCCCCGGTCCCTCCCTCTCGCCGCCACGTGTGTCCGTGCTGGGCTCCGGGCGCGCTGGAAGTGACGCGCGGGCCGCGTGGTGCTGGTGCTGGTGATGGCGATGGCGGGCGCGCACCGGCCCGGGCCGCTGAAGCAGCAGAACAAGGCGCACAAGGGCGGCAAGCACAGCGGCTCCTCGCAGCGCCGCGCCGGAGGTGAGCTCCCCGTCCCCGCGGGACAGGCTCCCCGCCGGCCCCCGGCCCGCCTCACCGTTCCCTCTCTCCCCCCCACCCCGCAGGCCGCGTCCCCGTCAAGGCCCAGCCCCGCCGGCGGCTCCGCGACCTCAGCAGGGTGGACCGGCGGCACCAGGCGCTGCAGCTCCGCCGGCAGCGCAAGGAGGCGGTGAGGGGGACCGGGCCGGGCGGGGCTGGGAGCGGGACTGTGGGGGGAGCGGGTCGGTTCGGGTGTTTGCCGGAGGGGGGTTGGAGTGGGGTCAACGTGGATCTCGGTGTGAGTGATGGAACCGAGCCGGTTTGGGCAGTTGCGGGGATGAGGAGCTTCGCCAGGGAAAGGAGTGGGTGCCTGGGCCAGTTCTGTTTGGGGCAAGCGGAGCATTACTGGACCGAGTGGGTTCGGGGGGAGGAATCTGGTCTTGATCCATGGAGGCGGGACAGGAACTGGGCTGTGGGCTGGGATTGATGCTCTGCAGTGGTGCCCGCAGGTGCTGGCGGAGAAGCGCAGCCTGGGCAGCAGGGATGGGCCCCCGCACCTCGTGGCCGTGGTGCTGCTGCACAGCAGGGTTGCAGCCCAGGACACCCTCCAGCTGCTGCAGAGCCAGGATTCGGCCGTGGTCCGTGTGAATGAGGGGAGAGCTGGTGGCTTTGCCCTCCTCTGCCCCCGGCTCAAGCAGCGCTGGCGCTTTGTCACAGCACAGGCAGGTGAGGAAGAGCGGCTGTGGGTCGGGCTCTTGGCTCCACACCCCTGGCAGCCCCAGTAAAGGACGTGTTCTGTGTGCAGGGGACCTTCACACTGTCTTAGACCTTGCCAAGGTTGCTGACTCCCTCCTGTTCATCCTGGACGCTGTGGATGGCTGGGACAGTGCAGGGGAGCACTGCCTGTCCTGCCTCTTTGCACAGGGGCTCCCCAGTTATGGTGAGTGAGCCAGTAACGTTGAGGGGTTTGGGGGAGGTGTGTGGAGGTACTTGATGGAGATTTACTGTTGCAGTAATTAAAAACTCCACCTGTTAATTGGCTATTACAGGTCCTTGATCTGTTTCTGAGCACAGATCAGTTGGGTGAATGCCTATTGTGTTACTCCATGGTGTGGGAATACTGGAGATAAAAGGGTGTTGTGGGTTGAGGCCCCTGGGTGTGTGGTGGTGTCAGCACCATGATGGTTATGAAGGTGTGCAGAGCCAAGGGATTCAGGCACTTTCCTGCTAAATTCAGTTCTTGTGCCCTTATCTCCATGGTCTCATTAGTCTCAAAATCTTATTTCTGAAGACATGTTTTCTGTGTCAGATGTTCTTTAGAATGTGTGAATCACAGAAGGGTTAGGGTTGGAAGGGAACCCCTCTGTCAAGTCAGGGTCACCTAGAGCAGGTGACACAGGAATGCATCCATGTGGGTTTGGAATGTCTTCAGACAAGGAGACTCCACACTTTCCCTGGACAGCCTATTCCAGTGCTCTGCCACCTTCCATGGAAAGAAGTTCTTCCTTGTGTAGAGGTGGAAGTTCTTGTGTTTTAGTTTATAGCTATTTGCTCCTTGTCCTGTCACTGAGCAGCACCTTGGGGTGCAAATCTGGTTATCTGGGTTCCTGATATCTGAGTATTTATCCATATTTGGTAAAAGGGGCACGATAAGGTTTATGATCTGATCCTGAGCTGGTCTCTGCTCGGCAGCTCTTGCTGTCCCAGGGGGCACCGACTTGCCCCCTAAGAAGCGGATAGATGCCAGGAAGAAGCTCGCCAAAGCCATTGAGAAGCGCTTTCCGGAGGCCAAGCTGTTCCCCCTGAACACGGAGCAGGAATCCTCGCTGCTGCTGAGGCACCTCAGCACCCAGAAGCAGCGGCACCTCGCGTTCCGGGACCGGCGCGCCCACCTGCTCGCCTACACAGCGGAGTTTGTGCCTGGTCAGGAGAGCGACCTGGTTGGGACCCTGAAGGTGTCTGGCTTTGTCCGGGGACAGACCCTTGACGTGAACAGCCTGGTGCACATTGTGGGGCATGGAGACTTCCAGGTCAGCCAGGTGGATGCTCCCCCTGATCCCCTCTCTTTGAACCCCCGAGTGGTTAAAGGACAGAAGAGGAGTCAGGACATGGAGATACAGGTGGGTGTGGGGTCAGGGCTTTGCCAGTCCTGTTAGAACAGGAGGTTTCTAAGCTTCCATGGGGAAAATACAACTGGGTGTATGTGGGCAAGGGGAGGGTAAAGGGAGTTGTATCTGTGTTGGGCTGCTGGGCTGAGGTTCCTTGCCTGCTGCATGTAATGAACATTATGGCATGACATAATGAATGTGATTCTGAAAGGAGTTTACATGAGACAGATTGCAAAGCTTTAATTAGGTGTGTTCAGAGCTGGGAACTCTGCTCTTGCCCTTCAGGAGGACCCTGTAAATGGTACTGATGAGATGGAGGAGGATGTTAAGGTCCTGATGAAGGCAGATCCAAGCAAGCAGGAGTCTTTGCAGTCAGAAGTGGTTCCTGATCCAATGGAAGGAGAGCAGACATGGCCAACTGAAGAAGAACTGCAAGAAGCAGAGGGTGTGTAACAGCAATAGTTCTGTATCTTTTCCTTGTTCCTCTTAAGAGGGTTGTCAGAAACTTCTGTCACTAGGATGGCTCCTGAAGAAAGATCCTATTTGGAAGTCTAGGGCTTCTATCCCTAGTTCCATCACCTGACCAGCAGGCTGTGTGGTTTGCCTGGGAAGTTAGCAGGGTTATATTTTGGCTGTCCCAACAAATTCTGTGTTGGAAAGTAGCAGTTCTGGTATAGATCTGATCTTGTCTCTGCCGGTGCAAATGTTGCTGAGGGGAAGGAGAATTGTTCCTGTATTAACTAGTGGTGGGAATCCTACAGATTCTCTGAAGGCAAACAGGAGGGTGGTGAAGGTCCCCAAAGGCACATCCAAGTACCAGGCTGCCTGGATTGTGGATGATGGAGAAGAAGGCAGTGAGAAAGATGATGACGAAGATGATGACATCGATGATGATCTGATGGAAGAGGCAATTTCCCAGGTACCTCCAAGAGTTGATAGTACAGGTGATCTCCAGGGCATTATTGCGTATTCTTGGACAGTCCTGTCCTTCCAGCTTGCTCCATGCAAGGGCACAACACGGAGCCAGGACTTGCCTGGATTTCCACTGTTAAATCTCTCATGTGTATCATGGTACGTCTTTGGCCTGTTAGACACCAAAATGAGGGGCTGGGGTCTCTCTGGGGTCACAGATCACGCAGTGTGAGCACACACAGGGTTTCAGTGCTGCATGGACAGCTCTGTGCTCACAGGCTCTGTGCTGCCCTGTGTCAGGAGGGGGAAAGCAGCGAGGAGGAGCCTGGAGAGGAGGAGAGCGAGACCATGACCGTTTCTGAGTGCTTACGGGATGACCAGTACGACGAGAAGATGGAGGAAGATGAACAGATGCTGGAGAGATACAAACAGGAGAGAATGGATGAAATGTTTCCAGATGAGGTGGATACACCACGGGACGTACCTGCCAGAGTCAGGTAAGGAATGGGATCCTTTCCAGAGGAGCTGAAAGCCTTTCTATCTAGTTTAGTGAGGAAGCCTATGATGTCTTAGCCGTGGTGTCTGAACCTGGCTGAAGGACTCTTGTGAAGACTCACTCTTAGGCTCTGAGGCTTCCAGGGCAGGCACTAGCTGGGGGCAGCAGGTGGGCCTGGGTAGCTCCCTGCTGCAGGGAGAGCTGGGTCCTGGGCTGGTAGAGGGAGGAGGGTGGCCCTAATGCAAGGGCAGGTTGTTTAGGGAGTTGGCTGCTGTTTTTAGCTCTCTCTGCACCAAGATTTCTCCTGAGGGTTAATGTTTGCTTTGCTCCCTTTGCCCTCTCTGAATGTGAGTCCCTGTGCACCACAGGAGGTGCTGGCCACACACCTTCATTGGTGAAGGTTTGTCTTTCCTGTTTGTTCTCTAGGTTCCAGAAGTACAGAGGGTTGAAAAGCTTCCGCACTTCTCCATGGGACTCCAAAGAGAACCTTCCAAGGGATTATGCCAGGATTTTCCAGTTCCAGGACTTCTCCCGAACCAGAAAGCACCTCTTCCGTCAAATAGAGAAAGAGGAGACTGAAGGAGCCTCGGTAACTCCCTTTTGCTGATCTCTTTCCCTACTGTGTTCCTTTGCTCCGAACAGGAATGACTTAATCAGGGAGGTGGTTCATAGCACACAGCCCTAAGTTCAGATGATGTTGTTCTGGATTCCCTCCCTAAGCCACATCTTACTTCCGACACTTTTTTGGTTGAGAGAAATACTCACAACTGATCCTCTGTTGGCAGGTGGGCTGGTACATTACACTTCATGTCTGCAATGTCCCTGTGTCGGTGATGGAGAGCTTCAAGGAAGGGAAACCCCTAGTCCTGTTCTCGCTGCTTCCCCATGAACAAAAGGTGACTGTAAGGCCCTGCTGATACCTTGTAGGTGTGCAGCTCCTTGGGATTCCCTCGGGTTGGAGGGGGTCTGGGCTGAAATCTCCCTTGCATTGCTCATGTTTCAAAGTAGAGAATTCCCTTTGGTCAGAGCAGGCGGAAGCTGCCCGGTGGGTTTAGGATAGAGTGTCTGAGCTTGGCAGCGGGGACCAGGGATCCTTTGGGAAGCCATTCTCAAAGACACTGATGTCTGCTGCAATGTCCTGCTGCTTTCTGCTGTGCACCATTGCCTGCCAGCCCTGCCATCAGCCCCTCACTGTGCTGCCTCTTGCAGATGTCTGTGTTGAATTTCCTGGTGCGTCGGCATCCGAGCAACACTGAGCCAGTGAGGGCCAAGGAGGAGTTGATCTTCCACTGTGGGTTCAGACGCTTCCGAGCATCCCCCCTGTTCTCCCAGCACACCTCAGGTTTGTGAGGGACCTGTGGGGTGGGGCACAGGTACACCAGGAGGTGGGGCCGGGGATTCTGGGGCAGGAAGCCAGTGATGTCTTAGCCGTGGTGTCTGAACCTGGCTGAAGGACTCTTGTGAAGACTCACTCTTAGGCTCTGAGGCTTCCAGGGCAGGCACTAAATCGTGGGGCATGGAAGGGCTTTGGGCCAGGTGGCTCACTGGTCCAGGCAGGCGGTGGCAGACCCCACACAGTGAACTGGTAGCACAGAGGAGCACCTTTGCTCCCAGCGGCTCTGTGACAGCAATGGAGGGGTGTTTGTCACCCCTTTTTCTAAGGTACAGAGTCTGTTTGCCAGGGAGGAATAGGCTCAGTGGAGTTTCCCAGAGCTCTCAGGACTGCTGTTGGCTTGAACTTGATCATTACTGTTCTGTCCTAGCTGATAAGCACAAGCTGGAGCGTTTCCTGCGCACGGATGCTGCCCTGGTGGTGACTGTTTATGCTCCCATCACTTTCCCTCCTGCCTCAGTGCTGCTTTTTAAGCAGAGAAGTAATGGTGAGTTGATAAATGCTGAGGATGTGGTGTCTGGGAAACAAATGTTAGCAGACTGTTCCCCTGCTTACAAGTGCACCTCTCCAGAAACTGTGACTTGAAAAAGCTGTCCCTTTCCTGCTGTTTGAGAAGATGAGCCCAGTCTCCATCCCCATTTTCACATTTATCTGTCCCTGCTGTGGGGTTGCCCTGGGCCTGGAACCCTTTGGGGAAGGAGGCTGTGGTGGGGGAGGCAGTGATGGAGGCAGCTGTCCTGGTGCATGGGTGGCTCTGCCTTGCAGGAATGCACGACCTCATCGCCACGGGCTCCCTGCTCTCCGTGGACCCCGACAGAATCGTCATCAAGCGGCTGGTGCTCAGTGGCCACCCCTTCAAGATCTTCACCAAGACAGCTGTCGTGCGGTACATGTTCTTTAACAGAGGTATGGCTTGTCTCTGTGGTGGGAAGAGGGGATGTGGAGGCAGCACCCCTGCTCCTATGGAAGCAGTTGTGTTGGTACAGCCCAGCCTGTTCCTCACCTGCCTGTCATGTTTCATCTCCAGAGGATGTGATGTGGTTTAAGCCTGTGGAGCTGAGGACAAAGTGGGGACGTAGGGGACACATCAAGGAGCCACTAGGTAGGTTTGATCCTGTATTTATCTCTGTGTTCCTGGGATGGTGTGGTTCTCCTGGGCAGGAGAGACTGCTAATGGCCTCTTCTGCTGTCTGCCTAGGGACCCATGGCCACATGAAGTGCCACTTTGATGGACAGCTCAAGTCCCAGGACACAGTGCTGCTGAACCTCTACAAGCGTGTTTTTCCTAAATGGACTTACGACCCCCATGTTCCGGAGCCTGTGCCGTGGGTGAGGAGTGAGAGTGCACTGCCAGAGCAGGAGGTGGAAATGGAATGAGTCTCCAGCATGGCTGGAGTTTGTGCCTTGGCTCCCTGGATGCTGTTCTTGCCTGTGCACAGTGAGGACAGCACTGATGCCTTGGACGTGTTACTGCTGGGGTCTGTAACAGGGGCAGCTGTCTCGCCAGCTGCTGCTCAGGTACCAGCTATAGCTATTTATTTTAATGGAAAATGTAAAAAATATTTAAGTGCCTCTGTCTTGGTGGTGGCCAGGAGGCTGTGTGCACCCCTTGTCTGCTGAAGCCCTTGTCCCATCGGGGTTGTTTCTTTCCCTCGTGCACTGCACTTGGTGTGTACAGGGATTTTGCTGTACAAAGGACAGGAATCTGCTGCCAGTTCCTGTGATGCTGAGAAAGAAAAGCTGAGTAGCAGCTGGGGAGGGTGACTGAGTGCAGCTCTCTGGAGGCCTGTCCCAGAGCAGGGCAGCTGGGAAGGGGGGGAACAGGCAGTGCTTTGTTTCCAGGCCCCCCAGAGAGATCAACGCCAGCTTCCCTTATCCCTCCACAAAAATTACCAAACATTCGGGGTTGTTCATCTATTTTTCAGTAGCGCACAAGCCACTGTACAAATTCAGACTGAGGTTTCCACTGCTTGAGACGCTGCTCTGTACTCATTCTGCTTTCCCAGAGAGGTCTGTGAGCCAGGTCAGGGATCTCAGGTCCACGTTTCCCCCACACAGCACGATGCAAACGTTCTCCACATCCCGGGGGACTGCCTGGAACTTCTCTGAGAGCACGGCCGCCAGTCCCACGCCTGCTGTTGGCTCAATCAGCAGCTTCATCCTTTCCCACACCAGCCGTGTGGCTCGCTGTGGGGCCAGAGCAGCAGCTGTCAGCCCAGCAGCTGGGACAGGCTGCTCCAGGGCTGGGAGGGCACTGCCTGAGCACATCCCTGCAGAGCTCTGGGAAGGGAGAGCAGAGCTTCCACCAGCCCTTTCCAGCTGGAGACTGCGTAGGTGTCAGACAGCTGTGGTGGTGGGCAGGGCCCTGTGCTGTGTGTTGGGGTGGGAGCAGAGGGGCAGAGTGGGAATGGAGGCAGCTGCCTGTTGGCAGCTACTGTGAGAAGGGAACTGGGAGCCTTTACCTTGATTTCTTCCTCTGAGACTGTCAGGACATCATCAACCAAATCCCTGATGATGGGCCACGTGTTTGGTCCAATGCTGGTTTTAACCGCGTCTGCGATGGTGTCCCGTGGGTGAAGGTTGGGGGTCAGCTCCCCTCTTACCTTGGACTGGTAACAGTCATCCACGTTGCTTGGCTCAGCAGCAAACACCTTCACATCTGGTCTCAAAGCCTGGGGAGAGAAGGAGGAGCCACTTGGTTGACACTGGTATGTGCCTGTCCCCTGTCCTGGTGCGTGCAGGACCAGGCAGGGATCCCAGGTTCCCACTGATTTTCACAGCAGGGTCTCTCTGTTTCCAAAGTTAAAAGCTGCCTTGGGAGCCTTGCCCTTCCCAGAGGGAGGTGCAGCCACTGCTGGGCAGATGAGCTGTTGCCTACCTTGATGGCAACTGCTATTCCTGCAACCATTCCTCCACCTCCGACGGGAACCACCACTGCGTTTACCTCAGGTGCCTGTGCACAAAGGAAGTATGAGTGCTTCTGGCACCTTTTTGCTGTGCCCCTGCCCATGCAGAGCCCATGAGCAGAGCCCAGGGCTGGATGTGCATTTCCCTCACCTGCTCCAGCACCTCCAGGCCTATTGTGCCTTGCCCTGCGATCACTGCTGGCTCCTGGTTGGGGTGCACCATGATTCCTCCTGTCTCCTGGACTACACGGGCTGCTGTCTCTGCTCTGGACTAAGGGAAAGCACAGATGGGTCACCTCTCAGGCTGGTTGTGCCCTGTCCCTGGCTGGTCTCCCCTGTGCCTTACCTCATCACTGGGCTCACACGGCACCAGCGTGGCACCGTAGGCACGGATGGCAGCTTGCTTACACTGCGGGGCTGTCCGGGGCACCACGACGTAGGCAGGGATCCCTGTGTGATGAAAGGAGGCAAATCCAACAGCCAAAAAGCCCTGCAGGAGCAGGCCCTGCCTGCCCATGCTAATTCTGCACGCGTTCAGGAGTGGGATCTCTCCTCTCTAAGGAGGCAGAGCCGGGCACCCGGAGCTGCCTCTGGATTTATGCTGTGCCCTGTGCCCACCTCCTCAGCACTGGGGCTGGGGGTCGGGGGCTGCACTTTACCTTCTGCCTGGGCAGCACAGGCGAGCGCCTGCCCGTGATTCCCGCTGCTGTGTGTCACGACGGCGCGGGGCAGCTCCCCTCCCGTGCGCTCGCTTTCCTCCACGAGGCTCCGCACGGCGTTCAGGGCGCCGCGGATCTGGAAGGAGAGCACAGGGTGAGTGTCGCTGTCCCGGAGCCGGTGTGCTGGTGGGGAATCTCTTTGCAGCCTTCCCTCTGCCCTGGGCAGCAAGCACTTCAGCCCCCGCCGTGCAGGGTGGCAGGAGCCACATGTGCTCGGAGGGCAGGTGGGCCAAGCGCGTTCCCCCAGCGCAAGAAGCGACCTTCGCCCCTTTGGGGGGGACTCGCGGCGCCGCGCACCTTGAAGGAGCCGGTCCTCTGGAACAGCTCGCACTTGAAGAGCAGCCTGCGGCCCGCCCTGCGGTCCAGCCCGGCGCAGGTGAGCAGCGGGGTGCGGTGGACGCGGCCCCGCAGCCTCCGCTCGGCCTCCCGCACCTCGGCGGGCCCCGCGCGCGGCCCCGCGGCCATGGGCGTGCGTGCGCGCGCGCGCGCGCCTGCCTGCCCGCCTGCCTGCCTGCGCGCGGCCGCGGCGGTTTGTCCCTGCGCGGCCGCCGTCCCGCGGCCGCCCGCCCCGGCGCAGCCAAGATGGCGGAGGGGCTGGAGCGCGTCCGCGTCTCGGCCGCCGAGCTGCGGGACATGGTGGCGGCGCAGCAGGCCCGCGCCGCCGGCGGCACAGGCGAGTGGCGCCCCGGGGGGCACCTGCGAGCCGCGGCCGGGCCTTCCCCTCCCCTCCTCCCTGGCCCCTCGCTGCGGTTGGGGTTGGGTGTCCCCGGTGGGAGCGCACGGCGGCCGGCGCGCTGGGTGCGCGGGGGGCTTTGCCAGTCGATCCCGAGCCCCCGGTGCCGGCGGAGGTTCCGCTGCGAGTTACTGGCAGCGGGGAAGGTTGAGGGAGTGCAGCGGGGAGCAGCCCCGGCTTCGGGGAGTCGTTTAACCGAGCGTGCTCCGGGCTGGGCTCCATAACGAGGTTTTGTGTAAATACGGTTGAGGGAGGAGGAGAGAAACGTTACCGGGTTGTAAGCAAGGGGGGAAGCGCCTTTGGCTCAAGCGGTCAGTTGGCAGAGCGGGGGCTGCTGGGGAGGGCAAGCCCTGCACCAGCTGCTGCTGAACCTTTATGACAAAACTTTACTCCTTGTGTACACGTGCTCGAGTCTTGTGTTGTCTTTATCTGTCCCTCGTTGGTGCTTTGAGGAAAAACCTGTTGCAGGATGTGTTTTGTAAATGAATCAGGCCAAGGATTTGGTTGGCTTTGTTAGTTTCTCACTTTCTGCTCTTCCTCTGTGATTTCCTGTAAACATTTACAAAGGTTTTCAGCTCAGTTCTCTCAGACCTGCCCTGAGGGCGATAGGCTCTTTGCCTTTACTTAATATTTCTCCTGGAACATCTGTCACAGTATTTTTTGGTCCCTGGCTCGTTTGTGGTGGGACTAACTTTCTTCTGTCTGTTTTCCCCCAGAAAACATGAAGGAGGTGAAGGAGCCGAGGCACCGCAAGGACAACAGGCGCCCAGACCAGGAGATTTACAAGCCTGGCCTCTCCAGATTGAGGAGCAAACTGGTGCCATTAAAGCAGGAGGCGTCAGAGAAGGAGAGGAGCAGAGCTGAGGAGGGCAAGGAGGAGAGTGCTGGGGACTCTGTGGGAGCAGGGGCTCCAGCTGTGGAGGATTTCGGCAAAAGCGATGGCCCCAGGCAGAACGGCCCTTCTCAGGAAAAGGAAGAGACTGAGACCAAAGGTGGCCTGCAGAGCCAGGAGAGCTTGTCCAAGCAGCCCACTGTCGATGAGTGGTGTTCCAAGACCCCCAGGAGAACCAAGAAACCGGACCAGCAGATCTACCAGCCTGGGAAGCGCCTGCATTCAGCTGCCAAAGAGCCGTCCCTGCGGTCGGGGGCCGAGGAAGCCGCTGGCAAGATGGAGCAGCTGAAACTCGAGAGGGATGAGGAGACTGAGAAAGGCGCTGGAAAAGACAATAACAGGAAAATTAAACCAAGCAAGGAGGACAGAGAGGGGAGCCAGGCTGGGGAAGGAGTTAAAGCCTCAAGGGGAGAGAAAGGAAGACGAGCAGAGCGGAGCGACAGGACGAGGAGAGCAGGTGACGAGGGGCTGCAGGGGAAGCTGGGCTCCACCAAGCGGTATTCCCGCACGGACAAGCGCCGGAGCCGGTACCGCACCTGCAGCACGAGCTCAGCTGGAAGCAGCAACAGCATAGACGGAGCCCTGCTCGTGGATGGGGTGGAGAGGCGGCAGGAGCGCGCCAGGGAAAGAATACGTCCCAGGAAGCAGCTCTCTGTGTCCTCCACTGACTCCCTGGACGATGACAGATTCGATGAGGCAGAAGCCTACGTCTCCAGCAGGAATTCAGACAGGAGGAAGCACTTGGAGCAGGGTCGAGGTTCCAGGAGTGAGAGCGAATGGAGCAGCAATGGCAGGGAAGCAAAGGGACCCTTTCGAGTCACATTTGACAGCAGGACCATGAACAGGGACGTCAGTCTGGCAGACACAGATAAAAAAAAGTCCCTGAAGGCGTCTGCTAGTTGCAGAGACTCAGAGGCTTTGGAGCCAAGGAGCCAGAGCAGGGAGCCCCAAGGGAGGGGCCGTGGGATTCTCTTCCTGCCTGCCAACACGGACCTCTCTGCCAGCACCACGGGTGCCCCCGAATCCAGTCACTCTGGGCCCAGGCTCTTGCTTGGCGGGGCTGGCAGCAAAGGCTCCCGGAGCCGGGGCCGAGGCGGCACCGCTCGCAGGCTGTGGGACCCAAACAACCCGGACCAAAAACCCGCCCTGAAGAGCCAGACCGCCCAGCTCCACTTCCTAGACACGGACGATGAAGTGAGCCCCACCTCCTGGGGGGAAGCCCGGCAGGCCCAGTCCTCCTACTATAAATTCCAAAACTCTGACAACCCCTACTATTACCCTCGGGCCTCCAGCCAAGGCCCCCAGTATCCATATGGCGGGTATTCCCTGCAGTATCCCATGGGTCCAACCAACGGCGTGTACCCAGGAGCCTATTACCCTGGGTACCCCGGCCAGGCGGGGCAATACCTGTGTGGCCCACTGCCCCCCACTCCTCTGAGCCCCGAGATGGAGCAGCAGATGAGGAGCATGCAGCAGCAGGAGCTCAGCAAACTCCTGCGTGAGGCTGGGAACCAGGAGCAGCAGCTCAGCAACCTCCTTTCCAGAGACCGCATCAGCCCCGAGGGGCTGGAGAAGATGGCCCAGCTGAGGTTTGTGCTCTTAGAGGGGTGTGGGACTGAGCCCTTTCCAGGGTGCAATACCAGAGAATGGTGTCTCCTTGGGGATCTGGTGTACTGGGGGTCTGTCTCAGAGACTGGGAGATGGGGCAGTGGGTTGCTGGTTTTTGGTGTGCTGGGTCTGTTTGTGCCAGTGGTGTGTGGGCGTCGGAAGGAAACTGTGTGAGGATGTCATTTACCTGAGCTGGGAGCTAAGCCATGGCTGCTTCTGCTTGGTGAATGCCTTTCCAGTGTTGCAGAGGCACAGAGGAGCAGGACAAGCACCTGCTACAGATTTTGGGTTCTTCCTGCTCTTGCTGGAGCTGATCTCTCAGTTCCAGTGCTGCCACATGCTCTCTGTGTTTGCCATCAGACTTCTGCCTTCTCACCTGTCCTTGGTTATCTGCTGTCAGGATCGTGTTGTGGGCTTCAGCGTGTGCTCAGGAAGCATTTCATGGATTTCTGGTGCTGTGTGACAATGGCAGTGCCTTTCAAATGCTGTGTAGTTTTGCTCTTGATGCCTCTCAATGCTGTGATGCTCCAGTGGGAGTAGCCTGGTGATGCCAGGCTAGTGAGAGAGAAGTGACACTGGTGCTCTGAAGGGTAGTTAACGTGGCTGTAGCAAATTTTTTCTTGGCATCTTTCACGTTTGCTTGTGACCTTTGTGTCTCCAGGGCTTCTCTGGAGACTTATTTTCAGAGCTGACTGGCAGCAGATCTAGCAGGTGAGCTCATTTCAGGGCTTGTTCTGTGTTTTGGGGACTTGCACTGCAGACCACAGGGTGGGATATGTCTGTGCTTGAAGCAGCACTGGAGGTTTCAGGTCTTCCTCAAGGTGCTGAGGTCACCTGGAGCTGTTGTCCAGAGGGAGAGGAAACACTGTGTAGCACTGCTGTGGCCTGTGGAAGCCCACCCTGCCCTGGGAGCATCAGCATGGTTGGCCCTGTCCCTGCTGGCAGTGTCCCTTGTCTCCTGCCTGCGTCTGAGCGTGTGCTGCCAGCCTGTTGTGGAGCTGTGTGTGGGTTCTAATCCAACATCCATCTGCAGAAATGTCCAGTTCTCTTGGTGTTTGTGCTGTCCAGGTGTATGTGTACAGGGTTTGGGGACTGCATGGGGTTGGGTAACAGAACCTTGCTCTGTGCTTTCAACAGGAACCTGCCAAGCATCCTTCTCTTACCCTGCCAGGTTCTTCCAGGCTTTGCCACCTTCACTGTCATACTGTTTTCTGTAGGACTCAAAGCATTATAAGGAATAAGGCTGCCAAGGCAGGAACAGCTGAGGATCCCCTTCACCATAAACTTGTCCCCCATATTGCAGAGCTGTTTCTAGTCCGCAACTATTATATTAAATTTGGGGGAGGAATTCTGCTCCAGCATCCAGGCAGGGCTGTAGGTAGTGAGATTTCTGGGACTCTGAGGCTTTATTTCCTTTGGCTGTGATGTTCCCAACTTGTCCATTTTTGAGGAAGCAGGGTCTGTGTTTTGGTTGGATGGAAGGGAGGGAGGTGGGGATCATTTTAATGGCAAGACCTCTGTTGCCCCCTGGTTCTTTGTGTGTTTGCTCCTGGCCCAGACTTTGTGCTCAAAAGGAGCAGAGTGTGGCAGCATGTGTATTCTCTGTGTTGGTATCAGGAGACGCTTATGCCTTGCTGTTGCCAGTAGCAGGACTGTAGCAAAGCTTCTTCGTCTTTCCTAAGCCTGATCCATTCTGATTCACATGTACAAGGGAGATGGTCCTTTCAGACTTGCCCCTTGGAGCAGAAGGGGTGTTGAAGTGCAGCAGCTCCCATCTCCCTGTGGGACGGGTGTGGAAACACTGATTTTCCATAGTGCCGCCGACAGCTCATGCCTGCTGGATGTGAGCAGCAGGTGGTTCAGCACATGTTTCCTGGCAGCTGGAGCCTGGGCAGTTGCTGTTGCATTGACAACTGGTTGTGTTTTGCTGCAGGGTGGAGATGCTGCAGCTCTACGAGCGGTGCAT